TTTTGTTTGTATGTTGATGCATTTGAATTGTGGTATTGGTGAAGAATATTGAATGTACCATGGACTGTTGAAGAACTAATCTGTCTTGGAGGACGAACAGCCAGAATGTTCTTTAGAAACAAGAATACCCAGACTTTGTCTCTCATACTTAGTCATGTTGTCAACAGAAATGATTCCCTGGAGAAGGAATATCATACTTGGTAAGGTAGAGGGTCAGTGAAAAATAGGAAGACTCTCAACAAGATGGATTGAAACAGGGCTCAAGCATGGCAACAATGGTGAGAAAGGTGCAGGACTGGGCAGTGCTGTAGATAGGGTTCGACAGCATCTAACAACAACAATATTTTTTAAGGGTAATTTCTAAGAGAATTATCTGAAATCAGAAATTATTTGAAATGTAGGAAAGCTGAGAAATTTTGCAAAGAACACATGTCAAAAAGTAAGTTAGGTTCTTTCCCTTAAATCCCACTTGTTCATGGTGTATGACTCTTTTAATACGCTTTTGGATTCTGTTTGCAAGTATTTGTTGAGGATTTTTACATCTATATTCATAAGCGATATTGTCATTATCTTTTTTCATGGTATCTTCTTCTGGTTTGAGAATCAGAGTTACGTTTGCTTCATCGAATGAACTAGAGACTATTCCTATCTGCTCTATCTTTTGGAAGATTTTAAACAGTACTGGTGTCAATTCTCTAAATGTTTGGTAGAATTCCCCAGCGAAGCCATCTGGTCCAGGATTTTGTTGTTTGGGGGAGGTTTTTGATTATTGATTCCATCTTTTCACTTGTTATGGGTGTTTTGAGACTTTATATTTGTTCTTAAGTCACTTTGGGTAGGCTGTGTGCTTCTAAGAATTTGTCCATTTCATCTAGGTTATCCAGTTTGTCCTTGTACAGTTGTTCATAATACTCTGTCATAGTTATCTTGATTTCTCTCAGGTCAGTTGTAATGTCCTCTATTTCATTTTCTATTTTGATTATCTGCATCTTCTTTTCTTTGTCAGTCTTGATAAAGACTTGTCAATTTTATTGATCTGTTCAAAGAATCA